TGTGTGTTTATATAATAATAATAATAATAAAATATAAAATAGTTAGATAATACAACTTAAAATTATAATTGGATATATACATATGTATATATGTGTGTATATATATATAATAATAATAATAAAAAATATAATATATTATAATTGACTATGACATTTGATGGAGTAATTCCCGAAGCATTCAACACCCCCTATTAAGGGGGTGCCATTAGCACTCCCCTTAGAATATTGACCAACCTGAAAAAACCTAAAAAATTAACTTAATGTATCTTGATACATAGTTGATACAAAATTAAGCCACATGCTTTTATTGGGTTATAGTCACCTGAATCCGATGGATTTAATATAATTTTTAAGTCTTTGATTAACATATGTATACTAGAGCGGTTCGTATTTAGTTATATTCAAATTATATTACAATTTCAGTTGTAATTTTATTTTCTTATTTGTATGAATCTTCACTTTTTTTTGAGTTTGTTAACCTTGCTTTAAAACTTAGCTAGATTATAAAATGATGCACCAAAATTTCAACCCGATCAAATATGGGTTGGGTTGAGTTGAAAATTTTCAAATCGCAAACAATGGATTGAGTTGAAAATTTTCAAATTGCAAACAATGGATTGAATTGTTCAAATGCCTTCAACTTGATAAATCCAACCCATGTGAAGCCTTATTATATAGGTGCATTTAGGAACATGTAAAGGTGCAATTAGCACATCCTTATGTAAAATTTATCAAGAAGTTTAGGACATCTTTAATACAAGGTTTTTATAAGCAAAAAAATATGGATTTATAGAAGATTCACGGTTAGAGAGAATACTTATAAGAATCTCATATTACTTGAATTCTTGTACAATGTTAAGTGACCTTTTTGTTAATTTTTTGATGAGATCCGCTCGAGATGTTGCTACCATCATCCTAATTATTAATAACAATAATGTATTTCAACCAAATAATTGCCCATAACACTCAATTAGGTAGAAAGAAGATGGGTGACATAAGTCTTCTAGTAGACCTCATGATGGCTGTTTGGAAGTCGCTGCTTCAGGAAGAAGTATCTGTAGTAGACGTACTGCATTATGATCTATAACAATTAAGGTTATCAAACATATTTATGCTTTATGATTGTGATTTATTTAATTTCTATTAATCATGAAAACTCGAACAATGAGGATACGAAAGCGTCGAGTGCCACACAGGCTGCAGCATCCAGCAACCACGGCATGTTTGCTTTAATTCTCTCCCATTCTGTACTTCTTACAAGAATGCTGCAATCGAATTCAAATCATAATGGCATAAGGTGTGCAAGCACAAGATATGTAGTTATCGTATGAGAAATCTCGAGTAGTACCTTCCAACGTAAGTTGCATTGGCCACGAGTGCAAACACGAACATGAGAGGATTCAAACCCTGAATTAATGCAGATTTCAATATAACACAGATCTACAGTTTCTAGTCTGTCATTAAATGGGCAAGAATCTCACCTCAACACTGCCTCTTTTCACCTGGGCACAATCACAACAAATGTGTTACAAGTTTGATGAATCAATTGCAATGAAATGGATGATTAGATGAATAACTTGGAAGGACTCACATTTAACACAATTTGAGGAATGCGACCGCCCATGTATATAGCAGCCATCATCCAGCCCAGCCATTGGCCATACACACTTTTTCCACCACCACCATCCTATACGCAATGCAAAACTAATTGGATCGATCACCATTCACCACCAAAATCAAATATTAGATCTTTCAATATCGATGGTCATACATACTTGTAGAAGCTGCCTGTAAGCATAAACTTGAACCAAACCCTTGGCCTGTGAAGGCATATTCAGTGAAGCACCAAAAAATGCTCCATAACCCACCTGATCGAAATAAACATAAACATAAACATAAACCACTTGCTCGTTTATTAATTACAACAAATCGTCATGAATCCTATTTGAAATGCACTTACAGAGCGTGGTATTGGCCTAGGTTGGGAAGCAGTCTTTGGTATCTCAACCGATGACTCATCTTCTGAAGAAGAATCATTTTCAGCAGCCATAGCCGAGGCTGGGCCGCTTCTTGTTGTCCATAGACAACCTCTAAAAGGTGGAGTTGAACTTCCAGCCATTGATCTTGCTGACCTGCAAACATAATATTATATCTGTTTTACGAGTTGGTGCAGCGTATTAAACTAATAATAGTGTGCGTAAACATAAAAGCAGACGGACATGTAATAGTAGTTCGGGCGTTGAGATGGGGATGCTTTGATGGCACGACTTTGCGAATTTAAAATGGCAGCTGGTTTGAGGGGTTTCTTAGTTTCTTCCACCTTAGAATCATCACATATCAATATTGAAGTTAAATGCCTGTGTTCTGCTACTCAAATTAACACATAACAATAACCTTCATGATCATTATAAATGGATTCTAATTGCAGAATCGACATCTAGCAGTGAAGTTTTTTACCTCTGGACTAGCATTTGCATCGGCTTTCCGAGATTTCAACCATGCATAGATGTGATCATAGTACAAGCTCTGCAACACCAAGATGACTGTGCTTGTTGTGTAAAGCTGTGTGTGTTCCATTTTTTGTTGAATCAAATCAGAAAATTAGGTCAAATTAAACATGATTTCTACAGGAGAATTAATATCTAATTCAACATTGTGAAAGACAGCATTTTTCAACAAACGAAATTAAAAGCAAAAATAGAAGGAAGGAGTAGTGTGGTAGTACCATAGCAGTGTAGTATTGTGTGGGCAACTGCAACCACAACCAAGATGCAAGAAAGTTAATTAAGAAAATTAAAATCAGATGTCTGAATCCATATTATGGATGAAAAGACTCACTGTTGCAGGTTCCAGAAGACAACCCACAAGATTAAAGATATCCCTGCACCATCAAAATGGAGAAAAACGAATTAAGTTCTTTGAATCTTGGAAATGAGAAGTGAAGGCAAGAAATCTTTGACACAAACACCTACCCTGCAATCCATGTTAGGAGGAAGATAAGAGAGACGCCATGGCTGGATTTAGTACGGAAGTTGGTGATAATCTGAGGGATTTCAGCTACACCCCAACAAACAAGGCTTATAATTCCCAATCCGAACGAGATTTGGTCCTTGAGATTGCAGAGACAATCTTTGAAATACTCGTCAACCCACCACCCAATACATGGTTTATTTTCTTGAACACAGTACGATGATAATGGGTTACTGCTATTGCTACCATTCCCCAACAACAAGCTCATGTCTGTATCTCTGTGTTGATCTCTGTATACGAAACCTGATTCAGTATTTATCCGCCATTGATGCAATGTTTGGAATGTAGTAGCAGAGACGATGGATGGCACCTAGATTTACAACCCTGCCCCTGATTTTGAGTTACCATCAGTAAATCAGAGGTTAAAATGGAGAAGGCAGGAAAAAGGGGGTGTTTGGAGATGACTTTAAATCAAATATAAAAGAAAATAATATTTCGTTAAAATATTAAATATTTTAATAATATAATTTATATTGTAATTTTCAAAATAGAAAAGATATCGAAGATGGATAAAAAAAAATCTTTTCATATTTTGACTTTTGATTTTTCATTTTAGAAAATCTGTTGAAGATATATTGTCAAAGTTAGATCTAGAATGGTGTCACAAATTAATTATGGTAATATAAAATAAAATAAAAATTAATTATACAAAAATTAAATACTAACAAGAATCCATGATCTATTCGTTATATGTTTTATACAGATATAATTACATAACAATGTAAAAACTGTTTAAAATATTGGTTGTGAGAAATGCTCGTCCTTATGCACATAGATGAGATCTAAACATTATTAAAGCTTTTTTTATATCATAATTCAGAGTAAAATATTCAAGATATATATGTAAAACGATTGTCTGAGGTGCTAAATGTGCAAATTTTGGACCATATGATTTTTATATTTACAATTTTATATGCCTACAAATGAAATAAATATAACCATCCAATTCAATGAATGTGGTCACATATATTAAACATCAAGTACGGGATCCATTTCGAAATGATGCCATAAAACAACAAATAGAAGAATCGTTAAATGAATGATGATACGACAGAATGGCATCATGATGTGGTAAATATGTGTGCATCCATCCCTTATGATGGCCACGTTCAATTTCCAAATACCCGTACTGTTTTAACAACATCTCCAATTGTTATGTTAAAACATGGACGGATCCAACTGGGTGGTTTAGGTAGCATGTGTCATCGTATTATTTCTCCGCCGAAGGGTAAAAAATTTAGGTTTGTGAACGGTACAACCGTATCGTTTTAGAATGTGCTATTGTATTTTTCTGAAACTCAAATCGTACAACTGAAACCCAAATAAAACAAAGCCCAAATGGCCAAATCAAAAGCCTAATATGCAAAGCCCAATTAAAACTTGGCAGCCGGCCAACAAGATTACGAGAACAAACAAGAGCAGATCCAAGTCGGCAAGCAAGTCAAGACTAGACAGCAGCGAGTGAGTGAGTGACGGAAATCGGCTCGAAGACTCGAACGATTCTCAACTCTCAAGTGGCGGTTCTCGAACGATTCTCACTTGCTACATGGCTATTTGGTGACTTTGGTCTCTGTTTGCACTTTTCAGATTTAGCCATTTACGTAGTCGAATTGGTGATGATTTTTTGAATTATGCCCTCATTTGCGCCATAGAAAAGAAAGCACATAATAATGTTAAAAATAAAGATGTCATCGATCATTTCCAAAAGATGAAGACACGCCGAGAATAAATTTAGGAGTTGTTTCTCAATTCTATAAAAACCACACCTTTTGTAATTATTTTTTGGTATATATTGACCGTTTCAAAAGATGAAGACGATCGAGTACAAGTTTAGGAGTTGTTTATCGTTCCTATAAAAACCATATTTTTTGTAATTATTTTTAGATTTATATTATATTATATGGTGTCATCGTTTGAAAAAAATTTGGGTTCGTCCCTGCGTTAAATTATAGATTTTAGAGATTTAAAGTATGTTTTTGTTTCAAAAGCTATGTTATATCGTTTGCTAAAATAGAAAAAAAGAAGAGAGAGAGAGAGAGACAGAGGGGGTAGAAATCTCTAAATTTAGGAAAATCTCTAAAACTTGTTATGTCGATGTCTTTGTTGTTGATAATGATGTGATAATGATGTGATTTTGATATGTTAATTATGTGGTAATGCATTGATAAATAGAAGACTTCTTATTCAGTAAGGAGTATGATGTGATGATGATGTGGTTTTACTGTGATAAATCAAAAACTAGTGATGATCACGTCTATAATCATTAGTTATGTCTGTTCATTATGTGATATACAATTTTTTCCCCATTTTACTCCTGCCTTCCATATTTCTAAAAAAGGTAAATATTTATTTAATATTTTATTGCTTCCTAAATCATTCTAAAAACCATGATTTAAAACCGAATGATGAACTTACAAGTGTCCTTGTATTTGCATAAATTACAAGTACCAAAATCCTTATAAATGTATGTATTGGAAAAAGGTTTAATAAAATGGGAAACAACTCGAGTATTTTTATAATAAAATGGGAATCGTGATTAAGTTTTCTGATGCTATTATCTTTTGCTTTTTATTAAAATGAAATTTGTTCGGTTTAAACATATTTCATAATGAAATTGAAGTGACCGAAAATTAAAAAAAAAATCTTAGTTATCATAATACAAAAAGATGGGAAGAAAGAAGATTGGAACGAAAACATAAAAGCCATCCACATTCATTCGTTGTCCTCGTTATCATGATAACGAAAACACATTTCAAAAGGTCTTTCATATGTCTGTTTTCTGCTATTATCAACAGAGTAGCATACGTGTTATGTGAGTATAGTTGTTTAAGGATATGGTTCTTATCCAAAGACGTACTAAACAAATTCAATATTTGAAAAACACGTTTTAGAGAATAAAATGGAACTAAAATGAAAATCGATTTGCTTTGATTAAATTCAAAACCTCTAATTTGAAAGACATGTTGACCAAATTTGTGTTCATTAGACTGTGAAAATGAAATTGGTGGTATTAGGGTTCCTCAATTTTCTTTTGAGAATTGATTCATTAAATAGAAAATTTGAAAATTTATTCATTAAGTGAAAATTTTGAAAATTTATTTATCATAATAGAAATTTGAGTAAAATACAAGATTGGTCCTTGTGGTTTGTAAGAAATAACATTTTTTGTCCCTGTAGTTTTGCAATTACAACAAGATGACCATCGTTTTTTCCCAAAAACGTCTGAATTTGATCTATTCCTCTAACGGTCGTTATAAAGTTTCACTAAAAAAGAAACATTTTTCGTCTATTTATTGATTTTTTTTTTGTCTTTTATCTGATAAAAAATGATTTAGTGAGACCTTTTGTTAGAGGGATCAAATCTGGATTTTTTTGCAAACAACAATAATCATCTTATAATTTTAAAACGACAGGGCTGAAAATGTTGCTTTTATCAAACTGCAGGGACCATGTTTGTGGTTTACTCTATAAAATTTAAATTTTTGGATACCATTAGCTGTGGTTATTTATTAATTATTTTATGGTGATTCTTAATTTAATATTAATATATGAATCAGCTCTTGCATCTTTATTTTAAACTTTATTTTCAATATTTAAATCGGTTTTTTTTTATTTTAGCTTGTGATCTATAAGCAAAAGATTCTTGCGACAGAAAAATGAAAGGGAGAAGTGTAAGAAGGGATTTGAATTCTTGATAATCTTTAAACTCAAAGTATTTATGAATTGTGCTTGATACAAGAATTAATCTGATGCATATTATCCTAATGTGCATCTAAAGGTGAAGATCATTTCTTACGCTTCTTACCTTGATTCTTATGCAAAATAATTACTACATATTAATAATAATATTAAACTCAAAAAATCTACTAATATTAAATTCATTTGTAAAGGTATAACAAGAAATATTGATGATTCCCATTCTCCAAATAACTTCTAATCTTATCGGTAAATGTCTTTATCTATACTATCTTATAAACCAAATTTATTAAAAGTCTTAAAAACAATTTTTAATGCACAAAGTACTTTACATTTATGCACAATGTCTTAAAAGTCTTAAAAACAACTCATAATGCATTAACTACTACTACTTTATACATTAAGTCTTAAAATCTCTTAAATCTACAATTGAGATAACATATGATACAAGTTACCAATGCACATTATTGACTTTTCTTTTCATGTTCCCAGGATACTTTTGACACATTTCACTCATGCATTCACCCTCTCATACCTCTATATCTTCTCCTCATCCCCCAAGATGAGATTTAAACTGATATTCACCATGAGTTATTAAAAATTCTCTCATTTAATTGCTCTATCACTCTCAGTTTCACTCTCGATCTCTTGATTATGTGCTCTTGGTGTAAATCGAACACATTTGTGGAGTCATTTAAATATGTTGGATTTTAAATATATTAGATTTTAAACTGTCATACAATTTTTTTTTCATCGATTGACTGTAATTGAAACCATAACTTTTATTTATTCAAGTTGTATTAATATGTAAAGACCAAGCGTAACTTATATCATCGTTAAATCTTCTATAATAAAACCAATGAAACTTCAAAATCGTTAAAATTCACAGCTCCTACCGTATTGCGCGGATACACAACTAGTAATTTATAATTCATTGTTATTTTCATTCTTATGATTTACTATTTATTATTGTTTGATCCTTGTAGTTTATAATTCTTTACTTTTTGGTCCCTTATATTAATCCAAAGACGAAACTAACAATAAATTGCAAACTACAAAGACGAAAATGGTAATTTCTAAACCAACGGGTCGAAAACCAAAATTATTAACAAACCACAAGAACAAAAATCCTATTTTCTCTACTAGACAAGGAAGAACGGAAGATCCTATTTTTCTTCCACAGATGCCTTTAAAATATTGAACTGACATAGCAATGCATATTTTAGCATGTCTTCACCAGAAATGGGTCCATTGGAAGTAGACGTGACCCACATTATTGAGATTTGGGACAACATTACACATCAGATAGAGATTCTTCCCATGAAGGTGAAGGTGAAGGTGAAGGTGAAGGTGGGTAATGATGTACCTGGTCAGAAATGCTCTGCAATCCAGACCTATAACTGGGATGAAACAACCTCACTCCAAGTTCTTTCTTCATACGTGCATTCACCACCCGTTTCTCTCCCCTTAAACTTCTCTCTCCACTAAAACTTTCATTCGTATCCACTTCCTTCATCCATGTCTCACCAATCAATTTGCGAGCAAATGAAAACACTTCTGTTCGTGGGGCAGGATCGTCGTCCACAATGTTGTAAATTCTACTGGAATAAGATCATTTATAGAAAGATGATGGGACTTTGTAACTTGAATCACCTGATACCAGTAAAAAAAAACGTACCCAGGAGATGGTTTGTGAATGCTTTCATTCAAAGCATTGCAGATATCAGCAACATGAACACGGGATGTGTATTTCTTGAATGATCTTACTCTCTGTGAATTTGATAAAGACTCCCCTTTAATGATGGTATCAATAGCACTGTAATCAACATGGTAAATCAAATGGTTGGTTAGTCCGGTTACAAGGGGAAGTACAAATTTGTGTGGTGGTGTATCTATCACAACCTTCTGCCAGGACCATAGATACCTCCAAGCCGAAATACATGTGCTGCCACCCCAAGATCATCTCCTAAACTTAACCATCCTCCCTCGGCAGCCAACCTCAGTTTAGCTAATTCGTTTGGAGGGTTTGGTGGATAACTGAAACAAGATGATATTTCTGATGAGAATCTGTCACGCCAGCTGAGAGTGATGTCAAATTGAACTTACGTTTCATCCACCCATGCACCACCACAATCACCATAAATGCCTACAAGTCAAAGAGATACCACAAGTTCAAGAAGGGCTAGACATTATATATCCCCATAAATACGAGTTTGTAACTAAATTATTACAATAAACATGCTTGAATCAAGGGGGACACCAACTATTTGCATTAGCGGCTATAATAATCATTTACATATACAGTTGCAAATACAAAACTCAAGTGAATTTATGATGCCCACATGAATAAAATAAACCTGTTGTCGATAGATAACACAGCCATTGAAGGCAGTCATTGTTTAGTTTCCTTCTTAAAACTTCAGCATGTTGAAGCATCTGCGTGACAGAAATAGGTCATTTTGAACACCCATGCAACTTATGATACAATTTTAGGATACAAGTTTAGATTAAGTTTACCGGGTCACCAATATGAAGGCAAGGAGGGATGGAAACAAGGAGGTGCGTATGTTGGTTCAAGATATTTAGGACTTCAAGCCTGAACAATATACAAATTCTATATCAAAGCCTGTATGTATACTAGCAAATCAACTAGCAGCATATATTGTAATACATTGCTCGCTTGTTTCATGTTTGGGAGGATCGACACCATGGTTTGAAAGCTCTTTTAATTCAGAGTTAAATCTACTTTTGTTCTGAATCTAATCACCATTACTATGACACTATGGCTCTAAGTATAGCATATTTATGCTTTACAATTGAAATTTGAGCTAGTTTAGTATGGTTTGAACAAAAGAACCCTCCATTTCGATTCCAATTCCTTACTTTAGGTAATATTTGTTAGGAACTATGTTTAGGAGAAGATAAAGAGACCGGATAAACTCAAGAATCGTGTAGGAAAGGCACTTTCCAAATACAACAATTCGACCCTTACTAGCCTTGGGTTCACGAATTTCATATCGGGATAATGCTTGAGTTTCTCTCTATTCCAAAGGCTGTGAAAATCGAGACATATACTCAGCTTCTCGTTTCACATATTTAAATGAGAGATCGACGGTTATTAGCGGTTTAACGGTTACAACAGTTAATGGATAAGGTCGTAGAGTAGTTACAACCAAATCTGAGTTCTGAAACCAGCACGTCCATACATTCAATGATAGGCCAACGTTCAGCAATAGGTCCATGTTCTGCAATGGCCGACATTAGCAATAGGCCATGTTCAGAGATAAGCTGAAGACAAGAGCTGAACAGGTCTGAAGGTTGAGCAATAGCTGAAGTCTATACTTATTAGTTTTCTAAGCCTGAAAATACAGGTCTGGACACGCAGGTCCAGAACCACCACCAAGAGGCTCAGCCCCTTTGAACCTTGCCAGGGCCAGGGGTGCGGCCCCTTTTACCCCGCTTTACGGTAACCTAAGGTGATAGGGGGAAGATTTGAAGTGTGCGCTCCACACCTCCTAACTCATGTATGTTTACCTCATGATCTCGAGTAAATCACAATTACACTAAAATGCTTGATGACACAAAAATCACCCACAATATTATGTCCCTATCAATCCAGAATGATGAAATATATTCTAATCTTGAGTTTAATCGGCTGTCAGAGTAAGAATATTCAACAAAAAACCTAAGAGATCATATTGATCAGTAGTCAATTAATAGTAATATAGCTAAACATGCTTCCAATTTCCGAACAAGCAAGAGAAATAGGAAGAAAGAAACTAACTCAGGTTCATTAGCATCAAAAAGATGGACATTGAATCCCAATTTATCCAATTTTTCCTTCTTGGCAACGCTGGTACAAGTTCCAGATACAGCCCTGCTCCACTCAAAGGCACAAATAAGCAGTGCGTTCCACTAAAATCAATTAGACGCTAGGATAAAGTCTGCAAGTCATGTTTAACCTACCATCCTTGATTCATGAGATCTTGAGCAACAAACTCCCCAACGAAACCCATGCCCAGTATAAACATCCGTTTCTGAGTTTCCAGATGATTTCCCTTTGGTAAGTGACGCAGTCCTGCAGACGCTGCAAAAAAACATCGTCGTTTCGTCGGTCTTCCGATTGACCAGTTTTCCAGGACGGGATGGAGTCGGTACCGGAGAGAAGCCGGGGGAAATGGCACCGCCGGTATACAACAAACTTCCATTTCCAAATACGTGGTTGGATCTCAATTTTTGATATCGTTAGTAAATCTTAATCAGATGATATTGGGCCAAGCCCATCTATATCTTCTTTGTAACACAAATTCACTTGTGAATTATCATGTTTTATTCTGAAAAATGGAGCTGTATTTTTTTAAAGCTAAGCTGAAGGCCCAGTTTATTCAATTTTTTTCGGTACTTGTTTTAAATTGCAAAAAAAAAAAAAAAAAAAGTGAATAGAAATTAGGGATGGTAGTATTTGAATTTGGTATTGAATAAGTAGCAGGTAAAGGTAAATGTAAATGTAAATGTAAATGTAAATGTAAATGTAAATGTAAATGTAAATGTAAATGTAAAGAAAGAGACGTAAGTGATATTAAAATCCTTGTGGATAGGAATTTGATTTGATAGTATGCATATGAAGTAATAACTAAATGAAGTCGACATAGAATATTGACTTTCCATCCATTGCCTCTGGAGTCAAACCTTTCCCAACCTACCACATTATTTCTTTACTTTTTTTAATTCACATAATATAATATGAGATTTCTTTTTTGCTTGAATTCAGAATTATTTACATCTTTAAATAGATGGAGTGCAGAAATCTACCTTTTTACATCCAATCAACATATTAAATCCTAAACATTAAAACCATTTATATAATCTCTAATCTTTCCTCTCTTACCTTCGTATATATCACATGATTATCACATTCATATCACATCAAATGTTATTCGATATTTCCTTGAAATTTTTTCCATGCCTTCTTCTTAGTTTGAAATTGATACCTTCTTCTCAGTTTGAATAAGCGATAACTGTTGAAATAAGGGATAACTCTAATTCCAAGGTTATCGGGTTAATGTAATCGTGTTTAAAATTTTATCATTTTGATTTTCAATATTACCGTTTTTACTCTTTTTTTTTGAACTGTTTTAAATTTTAGTTTTAATTTAAAAAATCCTTTAATTTTTATTGTTATCACAATATGAGATTAATAATTATTCTCATGTTCTTGTCAATCACATAGGTTCTCGTTTGAACCCCCCAACACACACACACACACACATATATATATATATATATGTATGTATATGTATATTTCTGTAGACTAGAAAGATACCCGCGCAATGCAGCAAAATAAATATCGATTTTAATATTTAATTTTTATTCTGTCTCTATCGATATAATGCGATTTTATATGGTTTTGAGAAAATTATAATGTTTTTAAAATAAAAATTGATAAAAATTGAAATTAATAAGTAATGGTTTTTCGGTTGTAGAAATTAGGGATGGTAATATTTTAATATTGTATTTAATAAGTAGCAGGTAAATTTAAAGAAAGAGACGTTAGTGATCTTAAAATCCTTGAATGGATACGTGGTTAGGAATTTGATTTGATAGTATGCATATGAAGTAATAAATAGATCAAGTCGACATATAATTATGGAATATTGACTTTGGACAGCTATATTGCATGTTAGAGGTTGTTTGACAATTATTGAATGGTCTGGTGTAGAATGATTAAGTTATCAGAATGATTAAGAGGCTCTCATGACATAGTGCAAACTAAAATATTATTGTTTGATAATTGTGTACAATGAAATTATGACTCTTAATGGTTAAGGGAGATCCATGATACAAAATCATTCAGAAGATTTTAGAACCATTAAGATGCGGACTTTTTTTTGTCAAGCAAGATTTACCTGTTAACGATTCAGATGTTACCTCTTAATTGAACTATTAAGAGGTAAACAAACAATCCCTTAGTCAAACCTTTCCCAACGTACCACATTATTTCTTTACCTTTTTTTATTAACACTAGAAGGGTGATTGTGCAATACAACGAAATATATCTCGATTTTAATGTTTCGTTTGATTCCTTCTCTTGACATATTATAATACGGTTTTATGTGGTATTCAAATAAATATAATGTTTTTATTTTTAAATAAAATATAAATTTGAAGATATCATGAAATTTTGAAAATAAATATATCAATATTAATATCAAATTAACTATTAAAAAGTTCATGTTTTTTTGTGTAATATCTTTTAAATTATGATTTAATAACGAAGTAATTTATTTTTGATTTAATAATATAATTTTTTGTAAAAATAACAATTAAATATTATGTTAAAATTTAATAATTATCCTGATTATATTTTTAGATTTTTTATATTTAAAATGAAATGTCTATCTTGTATTTGACTATTTTTATCTACGATTAATTATACGAATTCAAACATGAATCTTTAACAAGTTGTACTTACACACAATTTATTTATAATCTTAAATTTTAAGTAATATGTATCAATAAACAATACTTCATACATAAAAAAATAATTTTTTATTAAATATTTTATAATATAGTATAGATAATATGAGAATTCTCTTTTACTTGAATTCAAAATTATTTACATATTTAAAAGGATGGAGCCCATAACTATTTGAAATGTACCTTTTTAGATCAAAGCAACATATTAAAGCCTAAACATTAAAAGCATTTATATAATCTCTAATCATTCCTCTCTTACCTTATCATATATGTATATGCGTTGTTGATATGATACTATAATCCATCAAGACTATCACATATAATGTTAAATAATAGACGCAGATAGCATTTGACGCGACCTAAGTCGTAGAACATGTCGTCCGCACATCACATGGTCCCCTCGCGTGTATTATCACATGTGATAAAGGTGTTTTCGCGTTCTCGTAAAATGAATGTGTTCTCGTTTGAACCTCTACACACACACACACACATATATATATATATATATATATATATATATATATATATAGAGAGAGAGAGAGAGAGAGAGAGGGATCAAATGAAAACCGTCCTCATTTGTGTAAACCATACAAACCAATCTCATCCATCTATTTTCTTGATCAACGATCAAGATTAGATTAGTTTATATTAGAAAATAAAAAATAAATAAAAGTTTATTTTTTAATTGAAAAAAGGGAAAAAAACGTAAAACATCAAATATCATTAACCGATGCAACACGATCATGTATATCCTAATATTAATGAAACAAAATAATTGTTTTAAAAAACTATATATATCATCTTATACTTCCAAAGATTCCAACCAAAAATGTTAGAATAATCTTGAAAATTAAACAAGTTCATCCATGAAGGTGTTTATTAAAAATCATTGTTTTAATGAATGAAATGGTTTCACCGTTTCCTCAATACACAAATCAACGTATTTCTAGAGGAGACATNCCATGAAGGTGTTTATTAAAAATCATTGTTTTAATGAATGAAATGGTTTCACCGTTTCCTCAATACACAAATCAACGTATTTCTAGAGGAGACATATGTCATTTTCATGTTTTTCAGAAGATGGATCCGTTTCAATCTTATTATGAAATGGTTTCATTGTTTGCCAATTACACACTATGTTCTTAACATTAACATATCAACAATTTACAATAACCATTACATGAACCTGTTTCACAATTATAACCATTAAAAGTATTGCATCCGCCATACCATACAAATTTATAACCATTACATGAACCTGTTTCACAATTATAACCATTAAAAGTACTACATCCGCCATACCATACAAATTTATAACCATTAAGTGAACAAGATCACACGGGAAAAAATGAACCGATTTAATAAACAATTGTTGCTAAGGAAACAAGATTATCCAAAAACATATTTCGTATCCTAGTAAATTGTGCAACAATTTCATCGATAATTTTTTTCTGAACACGTTTCATTAAGTTACTGCATCCACCATATAATAAAATTCATGACCATTAAGTGAACAAGATCACAAAAAAAAAAAAACAATTGGATGAAACAATTTCATCAACAATTGTTGACAAGAAAACAAGATTATCCAAAGAAATTACATTATGCAACAAGTTCATCCATAAAAGTTTCATTAAACAACTTCATCCATAAACGTGTTCATAAAACAATCTGAATACGTTTCATGAAATTGTTTTCTTTTTTCCAATTAAATTACTGCCCTTTTTCTAACGAAACATATTTTCGTATCTACGTAAATTGTGCAACAATTTCATCGATAAAGTTTTTGATATATGAACATGTTTCATTAAATTACTGAATCTACTATACCATATAAATTCATAACCATTAAATTAACAAGATAACTAAATAAAAAATAAAACAATTTCATCAAACAATTTCTGAGTTTAAATTTTAATTTCTTTAATCCGTATAATCCTGAAACTAAATTAAACATATTTAAATTTTAAAAAACTAAATTAAGAAAACCAATTAAATCTTACCATATTTAACGTAATCACTTATTATGTTTATAATATTAACAAATTATAATATCTTCCATTATTAATCAAAAAACAACTTAAATGACAATTAAGCCTTTATTGATTAAAATTAATTAAAAAACGGAATTTTCCTATTGGTCGAAATTGGTTTGCATAGTTTTTAAGAATTAAGCGGTTTTCAACGTAACTCGCTTCTTTCTCTCTCTCTCTCTCTTTTTATATATATATATATATATATATATACTATATTATAAAACATTTGACAAAAACTCTTAAAAATTATTTGTTATGGATTAAGTACTGTTTATTGTTGCATAATACTTAAAATTCAAGATCACATGTATGTATAACTTATTAAAACTTCATGTTTGAATTCGTGTACTAACTACATATAACTATAATCAAATACTGGATAGATTTTTTATTTTAAATATAAAAAATTTAAAATATATTTAGAATAATCACTGAATTATAACAAAATACTAAATATTATTTTTATAAAAGAATTATATTATTAAGTAAAAAATAAATGACGTTATTATTAAATCTAAATTAAATTATAATNTAAATTAAATTATAATAAAAATAGAATTAAAAAAACTACACAAAAAAACAAAAACTTTTAAATATTTAATTTAATACTAAAATTGATATTTTTTTTTTCAAAATTTTATGATACTTTTAAATTTATATTTTATCCAACAAAATAAAAATCTTATCGTTTTTTCTGTACCATATAAAATCATATTGTAGAATCGACAGAAACAGAATAAAATGAAATATTAAGATTGAAATGTATCTCGTTGCCTTATACAAATACCCTTGTGGTATTATGTAGATTGTTTAATGAAGAGCATATTAAGTATTGTTGAATAATGAATCCTGGTGGTATATTGGTCAAAATCCAAACAACCTTATTAATCATTATCTTTTTCAACCTGTTACGTAAGACTCGTTAGACCCGACAGATGATTTAATAGATGTTAGAATTATTAGTTGTAGGAGACTACTTTTTCCAAGTCTTCCCGTTGACCCTAAACCAACGTACATTCATAATTATATCCCCACCACCGTTTCATTTCATTTCATTCCATCTCCATCACTCTTTTTCTTCAAAACCTTCCCAATCCAAACAACGGTTTCTTGTGATCATCTCTTCAAATCCATCCTTCTCTTTCGTTTAAATCAACTCCTGCTTTCTGGGCTTCCATGGCCTTCCTCCTCCGTCTTTTCTTGATTATCTCCCTCCTCTTCATTTATATGATTCAAGCCCAGCAGCCATATATCAGGAAGTTGACTACAAATTGTGGTGTCAGAAATGCTTCAACTTCTGTTCTTGGTTACGCCTGTAATGGTCTTAATCGCACCTGCCAAGCTTATCTCACTTTTCGATCCACACCCCCTTATAACACCGTTACTTCCATCTCCAATCTCCTGAATGCAAACGCTACTCAACTTTCCCGACTCAACTCCGTTTCCGAAACCGCTGCTTTTGGAACCGGTGAGACGGTGCTTGTGCCCACCAGGTGTTCGTGCGTTGGTCAGTTCTATCAAGCCAATGCAACTTATGTTATCCAGGCTGGAGACACACCTTTCTTGATCGCTAACGACACTTACGGAGGCCTTTCAACCTGCCATGCCATTCAGGTTCAGAGAAGCAATCTTACTGTTAATATATATACTGGTTCAAGATTGACTGTGCCATTAAGATGTGCTTGTCCAACCGAGAAGCAAGCTTCTGCTGGTGTCAGATATCTGCTATCTTACTTGATCACTTGGGGGCAAACTGTTTCAGGAATAAGTGCCAAATTTGGGGTTGATACTGGGATGACTCTTTTAGCCAATCAATTATCAGAACAAGATTATACCATTTTCCCCTTTACAACCCTCTTAGTTCCCCTCTCCGACCAACCTTCAAGATCTCAAACCATAGCGCCACCACCCCCACCGTCAACATCACCACCACCACCACCACCAGCAGCCACCTCCTCCAATGATCATAAATGGGCCTACATGCTCATCGGAATCCTTGGAGGGGTTGTTCTCACATCTGCCATTGGCTTCTGTCTTTTCTGGTTTTGCTTTCCTGAGAGGAGAAAGCCTATGGTTTCTTCTGCTTCTCAAAGCTTTGAAGCGATTGAAAAACCAGCGGATAAGAAGTTGGATGTTGATGATGATGCAGAATTTATAGAGAGTTTAAATAGTATAGCTCAATCCCTTAAAGTGTACAAATTTGAGGAACTTAAGGCAGCCACACAAGATTTCAGTCCTGATTGTTTGATTAAGGGGTCTGTTTACCAAGGTACCATCAACGGAAACCTTGCTGCCATCAAGAAAATGCATGGCGATGTGTCTAAGGAGATTCAATTACTTAACACTATTCACCATCAAAATCTCGTTCGCCTATCAGGTGTTTGTTTTGATGATGGCCATTGGTACCTTGTTTATGAGTTTGCTGTCAACGGACCGTTAAGCGATTGGATCTATCATGGTGAACTTGGAAGCAACAAATCCTTGAACTGGATTCAGAGAATACAAGTTGCTTTCGATGTGGCAAATGGGCTTGATTATCTCCACAGCTATACCACCCCTCCATACGTCTATAAGAATCTAGAGAGCAGCAATATCCTTCTTGATGCTGATTTCAGAGCCAAGATTACGAATTTTGATCTGGCAAGGTCGGCTGAAGGGCAAGAAGGTCAATTCGCACTGACCCGACACATAGTGGGTAATAGAGGTTATATGTCTCCTGAGTATTTGGAGAACGGTTTGATTTCCACAAAGCTTGATGTTTATGGACTTGGCGTCCTGATGCTTGAAATAGTGACAGGGAAACATGTTTCTGATCTCTACGAGAAGGTGAATAAGAATTTGTCCGAGGTTTTGGATAAGGTTCTCGAGGAGGAAAACATAGACAGAAAGGAAAAATTGACCGATTTCATGGACCCTCGTCTTCAAGGGAATTACTCTCCAGAACTAGCCATGTCTGTCATCAGATTGATGGATGGTTGCCTGGATAAAGATCCATCCGCTCGACCAGATATGAATGAGGTTTCACAACGTCTTTCTAGGATTCTGACTTCGCCGGCTGGAGAAGTATCAGTAACCATCTCAGTTAAGGGGAGATGATTTTGTAGAATGATTTATGGTGTGTTTTATCATCTCGGAGGCTCAGGAGGTGACACTGCAGCTAGTTAATTGATAAGGAATGAAGTGTCTGTTTGTAAACTTAACCATCAAGATCTTAAGAATCCATTTTTATGGTGTAGACAGTAGAGCTGTAATATTTATTGAATAAAAGCTTCTTCTATGTTATGTTATGCTTCCATCTGTTTGTGGCCTTTAGAAATGTAGGGATCTCAATGGATATGTAAACAGACCAAAAGTAAATAAATTCAAGAAACATGATAGCAAAGGAAGTTCAAGATCTCTATTTTTTCACCTATTTTGACATGAGAAATCACAGGGGTAGATATGTGTGTGTATATATATATATACACCGGTATTTGCAGGTCTCATCGAGCTACAACTGGACTGATGATATGAGGATCTTCAGTTTCTAAACCAGAAGAAGTCCAAGATCTTTCATAGATATCAGACAGCGATTGCGTAAGAACAGACAGATTGAACACTATCTCCGTCATTCCTGGCCTATTTACAGACTTCTCCGATGTGCATGCTCTGGCTAGTGCTGCCATGTTCAAAGCTCCATCAATCGGGTAAAAACTTCCGAGGTTTGGATCCATCCACGACCTCAGGTTTTCTTCTCTCGTCTCTTCAACTTCTATTATCTTCCTTATTTCCTTCCATGCCATAGAAATCTCTCCATCATCTCTAGTTTCCATGGCTTTCTTTCCTGAAAGCAACTCCAAAAGAATAACCCCGAAAGCAAAAACATCGACTTTTAACATGATTGAGCTTATGGCAGGTCTAGCTGCAGAAAAATTTCCGATCTTGGCCTTGAAAGTGGAGTCAAGAAGTATATTACTTGTTCTGAGGTCTCTGTGGGCAATGCTAGGTTGACTATGTTCATGCATATATTGAAGGCCGTTAGCGATATCTAGTGCTAGATTCAATCTTTGAGACCAAGAAAGGAAAACAACAGAGCCTGAAGAAGAAGAAGAAGATAAAGGCCTTGGAAACAGCCATTTATCAAGTGATCCATTTTCAGCATACTCATAAACCAGGAAACAATTCCCATCAGAATCAGAGGAGATGCCCATCAACTTCACCAGATTCATGTGGTTTACTCTCTGCAATATCTTCAGTTCTTCGGTTGCATCTCTGAATTTCTTCACAGCCAAAATCTGACCATGGATCCTAGCCTTGTAAACGGACCCTCCGATTCGGTACCTTTCACCAAGGTTCATGGTTGCCTCCATAATCTCCTTTCTGTCATACATGATTGGTTTGCTTAGGTAGCCTGAAACCCCTGGCAGCAACTTATCGTGATTGTTCTTTATAGTTTCAAATTCTACGTGTTTTGAAGCTTTCTTCATCTGAAGAAGATCAGTGAACTCAAAAGAAGACTCGTTACGAGCCAAGATTCTCTTGGTTTTGCGTGAACGATAATAATTGTAAATCAGAAACCATGACAGAATGAAGAGAAAGAAAGATCCAATGGTTGCCAAAGTGATAAAGAGTATCCGAAGCTTTTTTGATTTCATACTTCTTGAAGCAGAGACATGACGAGGAAGAGGGAAGACCGGTAATTCAGAGACTGGTATAAGAACCGGAAGACACACAGCAGCAGTGAAGTTACGAAAGCTGTTCTCGTTAGCAACATCGTAAGGGCTTGTGTTAAACATAGAGCTCACAGGCAAAATCTCATCTTGTGGTTGCCATATGTAAGTAATAAGATACCTTTTGCGATTCTCCAACTGTGTAGGGCACTTACAGAGCAAAGGGAAAAAGACTTGCTCACCAACTGTCAAATTGGTCGGTTTCAGAGTCGGGTTCATGCCTTCAACATCATGAAAATTGGTCAGATTCTGGAACACAGAAGTGGCTTCTGTGGCAACGACATAAAAGCTGTCGCCTTTCTTGATTGCGTAGGTGACATTAGAGAAATAACTAGTCCCATTGCAGCTACAGGTAATGGGTATCAGCAAAAGTTGGTCAAAAAGTATCTCTTCATTTTCTGAGGTGAGATTGCTAGCTTCTGCTATACTCAAACGGCTGACACCAAAGAGATCAGATATAGTCCCAAGATCCATATAAGGTAACCGGGCATGATAAGTGAGGTACGTTTGACAGGAACGAATTGAGTCAGCAGAACACGAGAAGTTTGTGTCTGCAGATGTTGCAGAGACATTGAACGGAGAAATGAAGAACGCAAAAAGAGCCAGCAACAAAAGAAATGAGAATGCCATGCTAATGAGCTTCATTGATAAGTGATCTGATCTAATCTCTGTATTATGTGCCAAGAATAGGGAAGTTGCTATCACAACTAGCATCCTGTAGCTTTCAGTTCTTAGTATTTAAATGGATCCATATGAAGTATTTTGCTCATAACTTTTTATGACTTTCTTGATCTATAACTCCAATAATTGTGTTATATATTCATGTAATCAAATAAGAAAACCAAGTTGGGCCGGCAGATATATGACGTTAGGTGCAACTTATTGGTCAAAAGTTGTCCTGAGAAACGTTCAACCACCATGGAAATCTAACTTTTTTGCAAAGGATAACCAGAAAAGACAACTAAGGAATATTAATACCTTCCAAGAGGAGTTTAAAATAGAATCCCAGCTGGCTAAGAACTCGATGGTGACATCTAGACACTTTCTATCTACATTCACCCTGGACAGGTAGGAAGATGAAAAATCATTTCAAGAAATTTGAAAGGATAGAAGCAGTAAACATTGCTGGTTCATAAAAAGAACATAATTGAGATCTTGTATAAAAAAGAAACACGGGTTTTCTATATCATATTCGCTCTTTTCGCTATATATCAACAGTTGTAATAAGCCCAAACCGAAAATCCTGTAATGTTACTTTCCAGATAGGGGTTGGAACCATTCATCAGAACAGTTCTTTATTTGATCTTTTGCTCTTTTAGTTCTCAAAGCCATTTGTTGACTAGCAAGGAAATTTTCCAGTAAGTCGAATATGATCAAGAGTGCTTCTGAGACCGTACTTGAGCACAGCCTTGTTACCTTCTCTGAATCCATTTCCATAAATTGCAGAGGTATCCGACTCAATCTGGTGTTTAGTAAACTCACCAAGTTGCTTCTCGAACTGGGACCTTCTGCCTTTCTTTGATGATGCAGCAGCAGGTGCAGATGAAGAAGCTGAAGCAACATTAGTGCCACCAGAACCAGCCATGATCTCAGAGACCAACCACATATGAGCAAGAACTTGGCAGATCCCTTCCTCAACATCAGGTCGAAGATTAGAGTATCCTATTCATTCACATCGTAATCAATACTTCAAGCCCAGTTATGAGACAAGAAAAAATGAAAGATAGAGATGGTGGATTGAGGGTGGAATGGGCCAGTTTTCATAATTATATTTTCAAAAAGGAGAAAAAGCAAGAACCTTTAAGCCGAAGCCATGCATGCATCATCTCATGAGCCAGAATTGAACCCGTCAATAACCTGAATCCATGAAGGTTTTTATGTCTTTGATTGTATATATAAGCATGAATTATTATGACTATAGCAAGAATAGAAGAAAAGTTACCTAGGGAGACCATACAAAATGAGAATTGCCGTCACTTCACATCTACGAATTAGCTTATAAGGCTCTGTAAGCATGTCCATTATCCGGCCTGCCCCAACCCTCGGCCTCCTTACTATCTGGTATTTTCAACAAAAATAGAAAATCATAAAGACCCAAGGTCATAAAGCATACTTCCAGGAAGAAGAAAAAAAAACTGAAAACTTCCGCTGTTTAGTATAAAAAGATAAATATTCATACGGTGCTGATGGTTTGTTCTTCTGAAAGGCATAGTCCTCTAGTTTCAGGCATGTGATGATGAACCTGCCATCAATGGAAGATCGAATATTGAGATGAATATGGCAACTAAAAAGTACTTTCAAGAGTATTAGAAGCGCATTTAGTCTCACGTGTTTTTCTCCCTCCGTGGCTTCATTTAGTGCTTGTCTTTCAACCAACAGCAATGGAACTTGTTGCTCAATTTTCATATTTAGTCCTTCATAAAAATCCAGAATTTCTAGATAAAGAGGTTGACATTCATGAGTATCCATTATTGCAGAGTCAAGACACTCGAGGCATAGCTTCCGACCATCATCTAGCAACAAATATTTTGTATCCCTCGGTTCCATCCTTTCACAGCTGCAACATCGAGGAGTCCCATCGTGCTCATGGGTGGGGCAGTACTTCTGTCGCCAGAAAGAATGTACCTTGAACTCAATCAGGCCATCTACATTTGTCGGAATCTGCATGTATTTTCAAAAAAAGATCTCCTTATCGACAACCGCAAGTCACAGGATTCAAGAAGGCACATAGAGATGGTGTTTGTAAAAACTACCAACTGATAAAAAACAGAAACTTACGAAGTGCTTGCAAACGTCGCATCTTGGGTGATGGTGTTCTTTATGGCATGATTTGTGGAATGGACGGTTTTCAGACATGGAGAACTACATAGACGAGCAGGAAAATCAGACTTGAACTAACTAACTATTCAAGTGATATCAAGCACAAATATATATTCCCTCCATCTCAAATTGCAATTTTGATTTAACGCAGAGTCTAAGGAAAATGTTGGATCTCGGTGACCCCAATCAATAACATTTATCCATGATGATGGGAGAAAAGGTAATTTTAATAGGAACTTTCGAGAAATGAGCTGTTGCAATGTTCATGGATGGAGAGACTAATATGGATTCTGAATTCAAAACTGATAACTTGCTTTAAAATCTGAACAATTCTAAAGAGACTAGGGTCTCAAAACTTAGAAGGAATATAGGAACACCTTGTAAAAGAGCTGTTAACGATAAGTTTGACTTGGAGTAGAGTTGGACCTCAAAATCAGTTATTGGTATATTGCAAGCATGACAACGAAAACATTCTGGATGCCAAAATCCTCCTAAGCAATTCAGAAATCTGCCTTGACCAATTTCACAGCTGCAACCAGCACATATCCTACAATCCCATGTTTCAAATGAGGTTAAATGAATCTAGTACAAAGGCTATTATGTCTCAAATATTTCATTTCAATTATTTTTCGTTTCTATGTGTAATAGATGCATTTAACATAGTAAGAGGTAAATAAGCCCTTAGTCTTTAGGTACACAAGCAGACACTAAGCGAATCAGCACCAGTCAGCAGCAGGTAAACAGGCCCTTAGTCCTAAGATTTGACCTCACGAGTCATATGAGGTCTCGTATGACTTGTCCTTAAACTTTGACGGAAGTTTCCATTTAGAAAAGGTGCTTCATACTTGCCACATCCCAAGCACTCCTCTTTTCTTCGACTAACATTCGAAGGATTCTATAATGTCAAACTGAATCCCAAATAACAAATATATCCTTTTTATCTGATTCTTTTCAGGCATGCTTACCTAGAACTTCCACTTGTCCACACTGTTATATTCACACTTTAGGTACTCTATTCTAGTAAGGCTTAGGGTCTGTCTGTTAGCAGCTAATGAGCTTAATGGGACTCGCAGCGTATTTGGTCAGCTATACATATAGAAAGTGGCTTATTCAGTACGCTTCTAGGGGGGAGCTTTATGCAGAAAGCCGAGTTTGTTGTTCCAAACCCGCCCCTCCCAACTAAAAAACACGCTCATTCCATCTATGAAACAACCCCCCAAACAAAAACCTTCTCAATCTATATAGACAGATTAATCCACACTGACAACTTTATCCATACTATACTTAATGGAAAACCAACCAAACAGCCCCTATGACTAACAACGCTAGATTTAAAAGCATTTCTCCATAGCCCCAACTTTCCATCAATGCCTTGCAAAGAGTAATGTTGGAAAAGAAGATGTTTAAACAAGGATCTACCTGTATACGTTTGGAAAGAAGTTTGGGAACGGTAGATATAGGCTTCCATGGTTATGTTGTGGTGGTGAGTCCACAATTAAGCTTTCCTGAATAGCCTTGGCGAGCTGTTCATCTTCCTCCAAATAATAATCGTCATCTAATAGGAAGTATTCTCACTTAATCATATGCTACAATAAATATGCACATGAAAAATAAAATGATCAAGCATATTATGAAATACGACCTACCAATAACTTTTTTTCCTTTATAATCTTCAGAAGTAACATTTGATCTTCGATTATGTTCTTCAGGCGATGAAACAACATCCTTTTGATCTCCTTTTGAGGAAACCGAACCTTCCTCTTCTTCTTCTTCTACACCAGAACATGCACTTTTTTTATCATCTTCTACAAGAGAACATACACTTCTCTCATCTTCTTCCATAAGTGAAAGTGCAATAGCTCGGTCAATTTCTTCGTCATCAAAGTCCGACAACGAATTCTACAAAACAGTTTTTAATGATAAAAGGAAGTAGAGAAAGTTAGTACAAGGTCAGACAGATAACGAACATTAATATAGAACACACACACACACACATATATATATATATTAACAAACAGATAAAGAAAGTGCCAACTACCACAATAGTAGAAGGCTCCTCCCAAATTCCTTCGGCTTCATATCTCTCATGATACCGCCCTTCCGAGATTTTGTGGCTGGAGCTGGACCCTTTTAAAATTTTAGTTAGCCAATCCATACCACAAATCTTGTATAGAATTGGGCTTCTAAATCGTTTTCTGCAAGCATATATATCACTCTTAATAATATCACAAAATCCGCACGACAGAACAATTAACTTCAAAGCAATTACACAGGGTAAAGCTTGTATTATAAAAATATAGCCATCTGATTGCCAAAACACATTGAATACAAACAGACTCCATTTGCTGAAACTGCACTCAGATATGAATACCAACCAATCAGAAATAGCAACTTAATGGAAGAAGATAACTAGACTGAAGCCAAGACTCATATCTGGCAATTGTAAACAAGTAAAAGTCCAAATCTTAGGTATTTCATGGACACCCAAATCACATAAACACAATACTATTTGCTATCAATTGAATTAAAACTGTTTTTAGACCAGTTGTTCACCTATACATTCAGAAAAAAGAGGCAATTTTATGATAAATAATCCATAACCGATCTCAACTTCCACCAACCCAAAAACCCAATTCAATAAACCAAGAATCTTCTAGATAAACTGTCAGTGTGTAGAAGAAAGGGTAACGTTTCTGGGTGTCAGAGACAGACCTTGAGCAATTCAAAGAATCCACAGAAACCAATGAAGCTGATAAATCAGCAGATCATATGAGGAATTCAATTCACTTGTGAATATAATCATCAAAGGATAACTAAAGCCCATGGTAAAAAAGATTTACGAGTTCCCACACTCTCCAAATAATCACCACCTGCAGAGAAGACAACTATATCAAGAACATAAACAAGATTCTAGCCATAATAAGGAACAAGAAAATGATTGGGACAACTTAAAACCTAGGCGAAGTACAAGCGAGATAGAATCAAGATAATGTACAACAGTATAAAGTAGGACCTTTTCAACATAGAAAGGTATAAAACGATGATGAATAGCATGTTGGAAAGATGAATTATACCATTCAAGAGACGTTGGTTGGAGTAGAGAATGGAGATGGGGAACCAAAAGGATGTTGAAATTGTTAATCATCAGGGGGTGGGACCGTATGCTCCAAATTTTCCACAATTAGTCCGCTACATGTCAAAATTATGAAACCAACTGCTTACCTTCTTCCGTCCACTAATGCAAGAAAGTGAGAGAACTGCAGAAAGAATATAAGCTAATTCATTTATTTCGGTGTAGGACCAATAATAAATATTTTGAGTGTTTTGGATAAATTGTTTATTTCAATGTTAAATCAGTAATAAAAAGTTTTTTAAAAAGTTAAATCATTCTAACTTGTAATAAATTAATAAAGACTTTTATAAAAAAAAATAAAGTTGTTTCAAATAAGCAATCTCAAACACCCCTTAACGAAAATAAAAATTACATTCATTTTCAACAAATTTCTCATTTTAAAAACCTAACATTTGTTATAATATTAAAATATTTCATTCATCTATTAAAATATTATTTTTTTCTCTAAATAATTGTTTTTCAAATATTCTTATTGGTATAAATATATTTAAAAAAATATTTCTCTTATATGATAAAGTTATTTTGGGTAATCTCCATATTTAAAGAAAATATCTTCTATTTCCTACTTTCTCCATTTTAAAGAATATGATAAATCGTCAAATATCTACTTGCTATCACTTTTCTTAAAAATATCAGTGCTCTAATTTTGTGTATATTTTATAGTATGAAATTGGAACAGAGATTCAGAATATGTAATTTTTAAAAATTTCTATATGAACTTTAGAACTATTCACAGGGCGACGGCATGTTAGAAAATCTTAAAATCTGGCAGGACCATTAAATGGGGTCGAGCGATGAAAAAAAATCTGAATAGACGCGTCCAATCCATTATATAATTACTAGTAGTCTATCCGCGCAATACGGCGGGATGTAAAAAGTTCATCAAGGGGCTGTTTATCAAACACTTACCCGGTAAGCACTTATCGGTAAAATGTAACACTGTCGTTTATTTATCGCGTGAGATTCTAGTCCACCAATGCAACAATTTACCCGGTAAGCACTTACCGTGGTAAGAGTCATCGCCCTCACTTACCGAGTAAAACTCTTAGTCCTTGTCTTGCTCTTACTGAGTAAGATTTTTGGTTCTTACTATGTTCATCCGGTAAAGTAATGTGACTTTGTATTCACTTACCCGAGTAAACGTTTGATAAACAACCCCTAAGATTTATTTAATTTTGAGATATCAAATTCATTCAAGATGTAATAAAACATACTACATTTGTACATTAATTAAATTCAAATATACATCCCATCCAAAATGTTGGTTTTAGTAGTTTTTACAATTATTCATAAAAAACAGATTTCTTATATAAGATGTGTATATAAATTTTGCTATTGTAAAAATGATTGCAATGTATAAGATTCAGAATGACAACACAACTCTCAGAGGTATAGTCATTGGGGTCCTCAAAGATGTTTTGCTTGGTGGTACCAATGGCAGCATGCTATTTGATTTTGATGACCTTCCAATCAATGGTGTTGAAAGAGGTGGCTGTTCCTAGCTAGCTAACAAAACAAAACATATAGCATTCAGCTTGGCTTTAATAAGTAATGAGAAAAACTAGAATTATAATGAGTAGTATATACATTATCATCAAGTGAAAAAGAAAAGGTGAATGAATAGTTAGGCATTGTTAAATAGAGTATAATCAAGACAGCCCTTGGTGTTGCTCAAATTCCCAAGGTTCAGGTCTATGAATTTGCCATTTGCCAGTGCTTCCACCTTTTCGACAGTTAGATGGCAGTATATTTCTTTATGAAGACTGTGTGTTGGTCATAAAAAACTGTTATATAGCTTTCACTTTCTTATCGAATTTAGAACTTCATAGGACTGACACCCTGATGTAGCTGCTCTAGTTCAAAGAGACCACAGAGCCAAATCGGTTAGCTAGAGAGCTATCTTATGCCAGAATAACATCCATTTGGTGCTGAAAGGATCATCCTTCAATTTGATGCAAGTTACAGACTTCATTTGGCACCTACTATGGATGCTTTTCTAGGTGTTGAGTTTGTCTTTCACTTTTTCTATAGTCTGTTTCCACACAAGGTGAGTAAGTTCAAAGGCTCCCTCGTATGCATATTTTTTTGTGCAGAAGGATAACATGCAAGATGTGCATAGAGTTATTGTAACTTAAGCTCTCTAACCAACTGCAGAATGCATAAGTTCTTGTCACTTAATTGCTAAATGGTTGTAAATCTATACAAGAAACTGAATGTTGTGCATGTGGTGTTCAAATATGTGCCTCCAACACGCCCCCTTTTAAACTTCCATATTTTTACACCCCCTTACATGCATATATTTTTTTACAAGAGACTCAAGCATCTTATGTATTCCTTTGGTCCAATTGTCAACCACAATGGATTCACCCCGTCTACATAACTATGGGCAGCGACATACAATCAATTCACTCTCAGAGTTGGCATATATCACGATTTAGAAGGCACTTTCTGTTCCAAGGAGTCTTCCAATTAAGAAGTTAGAGTCTTGGATAAGGACCTGCAGCTTATGATCCTAATTTGTTGAATACCACTTTCAGCTGTGATGTGGTCCAACGTAAAATTGACAGAGTAGGCATGGTTCCTTGAAGCAATATTTTGAGCTCTAGGAGGATAAAATACCAATTTCCAATGCGTGAAAGAATTTAGTGAAATTAAAAGATGGGAGTTTTTCAGGTCACCATCAGCCATTTATTAACTTAAAGATCTCACGACATTTGTTTTTCGTGAGACAGTTGGGCTACAAGTTTAGTGGCACGTAAAGAGCATAGATTGTTAAAGCTCACTAATCAAGCCTGTAAAGAAAAGATGCAGTTAAGACAACAGAAACCAAATGGGTGAAATGAAGTTTAAAAACATGAAAAAGTCAAGTGAGGTTACCGTAGGTGAAGGAGATCCAGTGATCTTATAATTGTTAGTAGCATATGAAATAGTTGAAGAAATCAAAATCACTTCTCAAACACATTATGATATTTTGTTGAAAAATCGAAAGGGAGATGGAAATCACTTATCCGGTCTTGTTGAAAGCTTCCAATGAGGGGGCCTTTCAGTGAGGCTATATAGGAGCACAAAGAAGAATTCTGAATCCTGTCAGTTACAACAGAACTCAGAGCTTCCTAGCTACCACAAATCCTCACATTGACATGAAAGATTGAACTTTCATGGCTTGGAAATTTATTACGAAATCATCAGGTATAGGTCAAATTCCTCCAGGCTGTAGGGAAATCACCTACTTGGTCTGATTCTTGGCTAGTATTATATGGACTGCAAAGGAGATGATGTATTGGTGTGTTTGATAGTTTACAAAATGTCTTGATGGTGTAGTGATTGTAGCCGCATTGGTTTACCTATTTAACAGTATTAACCTCAAGCCTTAAGATTATCATCATCAGCATCAAACAACAAATCAAAAACAAAATCAAAACTTCAAAATTCAAAAATAAGTTCTATAGAAAATGAAAACCACTAAAATCAATATTAAAAATATCGTAAATTGTTTGGTGGAGAATGAGTCATCATCATCTAACCATACTTAAAAAGCTCCATAATGCTCCACATTAGAAATTATATGATTCGTGTTCTAATAAACCAAAAGAACTGGAGCAGATGATATCATGACATATGAACTTAAGTAGCAACCAATAATGTTGTCTAGAATGTTAAGCAGAGTTGAAGATTGATATTCTCTTTTTTACGACTGAGCTGGTAAAGATTGATATTCTCTTCTTTATGACTGAGCTGGTGGAGATTGATATTCTCTTCTAGGTCTCTTTAAACAAGGCATACGTATGGGTAAATAAAGCAGAGTTGAGGAAGCATGTTACATACCTCAGACTCGACTAATCACCTCAACCTATCAAATACAAAAACTTGAGTATTAGATATTACCTCGAAAATCGATCATCAAAGACAAAAACTYGAAAGAGATGGWGAAACATGTGTAATCAATAAATCGATTATCAAAATATACAAATAAAAGCACTGAATGCCAAAAAAGAATACAAACACAACGAAAATCAAGACAACCATTATCGAAGAAAAATACAACTATGGAATCAAAACAACCATATTATTGGGAAAAAAACACAAATTAGAGAGGCAAATATAATTGATCATTGGATAAAAAATCTGTTAGAAGAAAGAAGATCAAACCTGGAAAGCGATGGGAAAAGCAGACTAAACCTTAAGCAGGTTACAAACATAAAAGCATAACACATTAGGGGAAGAAAGATTTGAACTCATTTTGGTGGTGAAATAGGGGGATTCAAACCCTAAAACGCAACATTTTGAAGAAGGGAAGAATGAAAATAAAAACTACCTATTTACAGTAGTGATGGAGTCATTGAATTAAAAAACCCTAATCGTATGGAATCTAGGACAGCCGAATGAAGCATTGAAGGACCTTGATATATGGTCTTGATTCTTGAATCGGTTGAATCGACGTCTTGGATAAATCAATTTTGTGAATCGTCACTTTGGGAGAAGCGAAGAGAGCGTCTCTGAGATAGTCCATGAATCGTCATGGAGGAGATCGACTTGAGCGTGTCTGAGTGTTTGAGATAGTCTTGGGAAGGGGGCATGATCAAGAGGATTAGAGAGGGACTGAAAATCAATGTAATCGAGAGAAACCATGGCTGATATCAAAACCCTTTGGGAACATACCACCTTGGAAGTTGAAGCATTAAACCCTTGCTTAGGATAGTTTGTACATAATGCTTTAGAAATTGTAATTAAAAGATTTGAAGATTACTGTATAAATTAGTAGTACAAAGTGTAACAAAAGTTGTTTTTAAGACTTTAAGACTTTATGCATCAAAATATAGTACCTTATGCATTTAATGTTGTTTTTAAGACTTTTTTTAAATTTGTTTTATAAAGTAGTATAGATATAGATATAGATAATTAAGCAAAAAAGTTACATAAATAATACTTTATTTAAAAAAAAGTTTAAATTAGACTCCTCCTTATTCAATACCAACCATCCTCAAATATATACAATGTGTGGTATGTAATATAATATGTCTGAAATCTCGATCTTAAAATATTATGTGGTTAAATGTTTTGTTGTTGAAATAATCCGAACTTTGAAGGTTGATGATCCTTGGAAACAGAAAAATCATACTCCATAATTTATGAAATTATTTTTTACGTTGTGTAAATTGGTATATTTCATCTTTTTTAAATACATTATTGATCAAATATATTAGATATCGTAATATTTAGAGGTGTTTGGTTCGAATAATGTTTTTTGAATAAATGAAATATGTCAAATGAATTTGACTATGAAGGAACTGAAATGGAACTTCACTGTGTTTGATTGGAATGAAATTTGTTAAATGATTTGGAATTTGGTTGACAAAATGTAGCTTTCGGATTAGAATAAAATTTGTATTGGGAAAAGTACATGTAATATGTTAAACTCGAGGGAATTGATTAAAAAAGCCATTTTCAAAGTTAGTTTCATATTCTAGCCATTTTCACTCAAAGTTTATCAAAATAGCTATAGTTTCACAAAACCCACGTCCGCAATTGTGGACCTAGCTAAAAAAACAAAAATTTACACTTCCTACCCTTGCTTGCAAAAAAAATTACATTTCACCCAAGTCCGCAAATTGATTTACACTTTTTACCCAGGTCTATAAAAAAATGTGGACCTAGGGCTATTTTGTTAAACCTTATAAAGAAGCGACTAAAGGGTGAAACCAACTGGTAAAATGACTATTTTAATTAATTTCCTTAAATTTTATTTGATAAAAAATCTAAAAAATCAATTAATAGAATATCTTTAATGATATATATATATATATATATACATACTAGAAGAGTATTCACGCAATGCAGCGAGATATATCTCGATTTTAGTGTTTTGTTTTATTCCGTCTCTATAGATGTTTTAATACGGTTTTTATGTGGTTTTGAAAAATAAATAATGATTTTATTTTTGAATAGATCATAAAATTTCGAAAATAAATATATCAATATTAGTATCAAATTAATTATTTAAAAGCAACTGTTTTTTTGGTGTAATTTATTTAATTCATTTTTTATTATAATTTAATTTAGATTAAATAATGAAGTAATTTATTTTTGATTTAATAATTTTTTGTAAGGATAATAATAAGTAATCTGTTAGAACTTAATGATTATTCTAATTATATTTTAGATTTTTTTTAWATTTAAAATGAAATGTTTATCTTGTATTTGACGATGTTTATCTGCAGTTAGTTACACGAATTCAGATATGGAGCTTTAATAAGTTATACCTATGCACAATTTATTTGTAATATTGAATTTTAAGTAATATGCATCAATAAACAGTACTTCATACATAAAAAATGGGTTTTAATAGTTTTTGTCAAATACTTTATAATATAGTTTTATATATATATATATATATATATATATATATATAGACTTGGGATCATGTGAGACCAATGGTTTTTCGTGAGACCCGTAAGACCAATTTTCAACCCTTGGATTAGATTTACAACCGTCAGATCTAAACATTCATAAACGCCACGAGACTTCTCAATAATTACAAAACTGTCACCTTGCAACTTTAGACCATTAGATCATTAGATTATAAAGTTGATCAATGAACATAAATTGGTCTTACGGGTCTCACGAAAAACCTTTGGTCTCACGTGAACCCAACCCTATATATATATATATATATATATCAAAGCATATAAAAATAAAGTAAATAGATAAAAATGATTTTTTTTGAAAGTAATGATTAACGAATTACCTATATATGATTTTCTTAATTTATAGTTGATTAAAAAAAGAGAAATTGTCTAAAAGACTTGTTTTAGACTTTCTAAATTCATTTTATATTCATTAAATAACTACGATTTTATAAGTAGTAATTTAACAATTAATAAAATTTACTTTTATGAATTTAATATTTATAAAATAATACTTTAACAAGTTGCGGAAATGATAGTTATGAAATATCACTTACGTAACTTGATAAAATATTATTTGTTAAAGTATTGTTTATTAAAGTTCCTAAAGTGTTACTTACTAGCTTAAATTGAGTAAGGTCCAAAATAACTATTTTAAGGGTGCGTTTGATATGTAGACATGATAATACAAAACAGAATATGATAGAACAACTGTTTAGCGATAAAACTTAACAAAAAATAATAGATAAAATGACCAACTAACCCTTAACGAGATGTTTAAAATATTTTATATATTTCAACATAATTTATTAAATTACAATAAAATAAATATTTTTTATAACAAAATATATCATTAGAAAGTTTTCATCAATATGATTAAAATGACACAAAATGAAAAGGTTATATGATTTTCAAAATTTTATTTTACATATTTTCTATATTATTTTTCTTCTTATTAATATTTAATTTATGTACATCAAAATATAATTGTATAAAAATAATATTTTAAGAAAAATAAAGTGAAAGTTCAAAAAACACAAAATATCATAAATAAAATTAAAAGAATAAATAAAATGTAAAGATGAGTGCGTATTTAATGTTTTAGAAGAGATTTATGTTTTATTTTGATGTTATATTGGTAAACCATAAGTTTGTTTCGTCTTTCTACGTGGGGTGGAGGTGGAACACTACAGTTCCACTTTGTTCCATTATTTTCATATTTGTTTCACGTAAAAGTCCTACCAAATGTAATCCACTATTCTGTCATGTCATGTCCAATGTATCAGATGCACCTTAAAAAACCAACTACGAGATTGCTTGACAAATATAACCTCACTTATAAGTTATCTTATTTTTGGTGAAAATTGGAGATATATCGGAAATCCATATAGTAATTCCGATAAATTAAGAATAAGATTCTAATCGATGAATCATGAAAGGAAAGAATTAACAATATCTCAGGAAAAATTGCCAAGAGCACCTTCATTCCTATATAAAATGGTTGTCATATATTCCATACATCACACTAGATAGATATCATATTCATTTTTTTGATTTCCAAAAAAATACTCATCCTTTTTTTGATTTCTACACGTTTGGATGAATATAAACTAATTTATAAGTTAGCTTATTGAAACGCTAGTTGGAGTAGCTTATGAAGATATTTTGGTCACATTTTTCAATTATAATCCTCATTAATATTAATTATTATTTGTTACCGTTAATCATAATTAAATATTAACTATGAACAAATAAAAGTTAATTATTAATAATATTAATATTAAACAAATGTTTATTAATATTTATTAGTATT